ATTGAAAAATGCTCACACAACTGGAGAATCAGCCCGAAAATGGCAAAACAAATTGTACAGTGTATGCCCGGCTTTAGGGCATAGTGCTAGGAATCCTGAAGTTCTGAGTTCGAGTCCAAATCCCACAGACTCTGGGTCTCTAAGCAAGAACCTTAACCCCACACTGCTCCATGGGCGCCCAACGGTTGCAGCCCACTGCTCCCCAAGGGGATAGGTTAAATGCAGAAGTAAATTTCTCCAATGTGAGATCAATAAAGTTCAATTATTATCATTATTAGAGCTGGGCGATATGGCGATATATATCGTGAGGACGAGAGAAACACGTCTATCGTGACCTTTCTCCTCTATTTTTTCTATCGTGATAAACTTTTTTATTTTATCTTAATTTTTTTTAGCCAAGATTCTATACTGTTCACTGTCATGGCCGCAAATTGCATAACTGGTGTTCTTGGTTTGAGGTTGGGATTCTCATATTAGGAAACAAGATGATGGGTAAAAAATAGGCAATGAAAGATTTTTTTCAACCCTGTCCATCTGACGGACTATGAAAACATAAAATGCAACATCAGTTGTGGCATATCGTGATATATATCGTTATCGTGATATAAAATAATCCATATCGGGATATAGTTTTTTTTCCATATCGCCCAGCCCTAATCATTATTATTATTATATTAATGACCTGCTCCTCCCAGGTGTAAAAAACAAAACAACTTACTATGGTTACTCATAACAACTATAACTATAATATATTAACTATAATATATATACAAACACCAGGAAAAAAAAAAGAAACTCTGATCCACAGAGGAACTAAAATTATATATATATATATATATATATATATATATATATATATATATATAAAATAACTCCAGATTAGTCTAGCAGAGCAACTCCAAAGTGCAGCCACCTGAAAATAAAAATATATGAAGTTTTTAATGTAGGTGTCCTGCTCTATAAGTGTTTGTAAAGCGTCTGTGAGGAAACGGAAAAACATAGGAAGGCAATCGCCACTGTTAAAATCACAATGATTTACACAATAACTTAAAATAAATTAAATGCCGCAAATGACAAACCATCAAAATAGGAGAGAAGTCCAGACTTAGACCAGAAAACTCTATAATCTTCAATTTGGCTTCTTTTTTAGGCATTCCAATATAGATTATCTGGTTCGCAGCACTTGAAATAAACCTTCATTGTATGAGCAGCTTTTTCAAAGCACTACTTTAAATCTCTTCTTTATATATATTTTCTTCTATACATTGGGCCACCCAATGATTATGAAACCGTTGATCAATAACAGTCTAATATGAAATCTAATCAATATGTGATTAAATGTGTACTTTGATTTGTTCTCTATTTAAATCAATTGAAACACCAGTTTTAATAATTGATAAAGATTTAGATTATTAAAACCAACACAGTCTTTTGTTTTTCGTCACATCAGAATATAACGACAGCTGAAGAGTAAGGCGAGGAAAAAAAGAGCGGAAATCCCTAAATTACCCAAAATACGCATTTAATTAATTTACTGGGGATTAATTTGAGGACTCACGAAAACATTAACGCGGGTAACTAATAAATATTTCCAGCATAGGGGAGCAGTTTTATCCACATGTCTGCTTGAGTGAGCTAAAGTTAGCTGGTATGCTAACACTACCTTAATTCTATAATAAACAAAAGTAAATGTAGTCGAGACTACTGCTAAAATCCATCTAACCTGTTCTCCGTTTTTTTCTGGTTAAAAAACCTACGCTTCATGGGAAGCACGAGCTGTAAAATAATTTCTTACCGTCGCACTTTCAGAGTTTTCTTATTTTTACAGTCGTTTCTTGTGGCGGAAAACGTTCCGCTGTAAACACCTAGCTCTTCCGGGTTACGAATCACTTCCGGTTTTCAAAATAAAGGTTTAATATCCGTTTGAATGAAAAAAAAAAAGCAAAAGTAAAAAGCAAGAATAAAAAACAAAATAAAACAGGAGGCAATTGGGGGAAAATAAGAAATAATGGGCCGATCAGTCCTTATTAATACAGCAATATTTCAGTTGAATAGAAATATGTAGCTAACAGAGGTGACATGTTGACGGTAATGATGGCAACAAAGACAAAATGATAGAATTCAAAATCTCTAATAAAAGTTATGAAGTGTTAAAAATTATCATTGCCATAGCTATAAAATAAAGAAGCGATATACAGATATAGATTTGATTTAACCACCTTCTTTCAAAGAAGTTATCCTTCGTAAGAGAAAATAAGTAAAAATGTAGATTGTAGTTATTAACTTCTTAGAGCTCAACAGAAATAACTGAATATTGAGAAATAGTTGGATCACCATTGGCTAAAATACTAAACAATTCCACATAGTTGTCTAATGATGAATCTGACTTAGACTAACTTAAATGTCGTTTTGTATACACAAAGTGTATACTTTCTTTCTGAATAAAAGGTAATGCTGGCCACGAATAAAAGGCAACGCAAAAGGATTCAAGCCAGATGCACCTAGTTGAAAGAATTGGACCAGGATTGTGGAGGAGATCTGAATCATACAAATAAAAAATAGGCACACAATCTTTAGCTGGATATAGGTTTGTTTAACAGTGGAAGAAATTGACCATATTCCAAAGGTGTAGAATTGTTTCTATGAATACAGTTCAATGGATATAGTCTGCATTATACAAGAAAACCATTGTTCATTGTTTTGATTTTTCTGTTGTTGTTTTTTTTTACATATTAGATAGAAAAAAGCTGTAGAAAAATATTTTTGAAAAACAAATTTACCGGTAAAAGAAAAATTGCGATCATAAGATTACCGAGCAAACTTTGTGTGTTTCCAGAAAAAGGTCTTTCAAAAAATGAAAGCCAGTGTTTGACCAAAGTTTATTGGTGGAGATCTTATCATCTGGGGCATGGTGGTAGAATGATCATGATAGAGATATTACACAATTGTCTGAGCATTGACTCACACAAAATTACTTTTTCCTTACAGATCATTGATAACAGTTGGTTCAAAAGTTTGCATTTTATTTCCACATAATTTTAAGAGTCAAAATCCTAACAATACTGAACCTGTAATGCTTTGGTTTGATGTAATCTAAGGTCACTTCCAAGTAATCTTAGTAAAATGCATCTTCTTTGCACAATGTAACATCTACATTTATAAGTTTAATTTAATTAGTTAATTTAATTTTTCCCTTTCCTTTAAAGGTTTACAGTGGACAATGGTCTTTAATTTGCTGGGTACCCATTATCAACACAAGGACAATATTTTTTTCTATTAAAGACTTTAAATCTTACTTAGACTCTTACTTCCTAAATGTTTATAGTTTAATAATTTCATTTGATACTCTTCCTCTTTTTGAAGTTAATCCCTATAGGGTGCTTTAGCTTCATCTTTTGAAAATTGTTCTAGTTTTATTGGGGTTTATTTTATCTTTATAGGGGTCAAAATATGACACTTTTTCTGTAAAGGTAAATTTGTGTTTTTACAGGAGCTAAAATGTAAGTCGACTTGTACTTGGAGGAATAAGATCTCTAAAACATTAACGTTTTAATTATGAGCAGTGAAGTAAAAAACTAAATAAAAACAAGGAGCCTTACACTTCATTATATGGAAAATAAATAAATCTTTATTATCATCATCATCTCTACAGTGACCCCTCCCTATAGCACATTAGGACACATCAATACAAAATACACATAGTCATCATTATTGTTATCAGACATGAACAGAAATTTATAACCACCGACATTCAGACAGTAAAGTGTAATTAAGAGTGGATTCTTGATCTAAAAGTTATAAACAGTGTTTGTCCAGCAGATATAACTTGTGTTAATCAAAACCTAGAGCGTTCACAGCTCTGAAACAATGATGGGGACAAATGATAACACCTGAGCCAGGAGTTTTATTCACTCACACTCAGAAAAATTGCAAATGTGACCTCGGTTTTGGAATATTAAGCTAAGCTTTGCATTTCAGTTTTAAGATTACAGAAATCCTACCAACACAGATCAGCTCTCAAACAAACAAATGTACTACTGTGATCTTGTGCACAAATTTGTACAGTTATCGCCCCAAGTAAGCAGAGAAAAAAAAATTAAGTTAGAAACCTCATATTGACAGATCTCCCAGCCAATCACATTCAACTTACTTATGTACAGTGTGTTTCACTTAATTTAGTGACTGTTCAAAAACTCAATGCACATCTCATGAACTACACTCCCGCTTTGAGGAAAAAAAGAAAGAAATTAGTGGTTAAGCTACTGCTTCTGAAGTTTTTCATGTATTAGAGGCGCAGCACATCTGAAATGTTTGCTATGATCCACCAAAAAAAAAAAAAAAAACATAAAAATATATTCGATGTGTTCACATTATTGCACGCATTTTTCACCAAAATGAAACCAACATGCTGATGCACCGAAAACCCATAAAGCTCTTCCATCCAAGAAGTTGACACATAGTCATCCTCATCACCTTAACATACAAAAATCTTTAACCTTCATCCCTCAGCACATCACGGTAACACACACTGATCACTTTCTGTACCTCGCTCACACTAAACCACATTAGAAGCATTTAAGAAATCAACCAGCTGAAAAACTGAGCTTCAAAATTGTTAAATTAAGTGCTTTCCAAGAAATACTATGCATTACATCTTGTTTTTTAATTGCTCAAAAATAGAAAAATATCATTTTAAATCAGAAATTTGAAACAGTTTTTATGCCCCTGTTATTGTAAGCAAAAATTGGTTTCAAGTTGTTGAGGACTTTTTTCGGATTGTAAGGTGACTGAAAGGCAGTGACTAAAGCAGAAGAATGAGGATGGTGACTGATGAGGATGATTATGTGTCATCTTTGCAATTTTTCTCTTTAAGACTGCTTTTTTTAGGGTGAAATGTGCATGGAATGGGGAGGGGGGGGGGGGGGCAAACTTTCACAAAAAACAATTATTAATACATTCTAAATGGATGTTAAGGGATGTTAAAGACTGATGACAAAATAAACGCTTCTCTTTGCATTTAGTTTTTTGTAATATGCTTCTACCTCATAATCCTGCTAAGCAGGAGTTTAAATACAATCTTTTCTTTGTGAGAAAACACAAAGATGACTGTAATATGAAAACAGCTAATGCCTCAAAAAACAGGTTGAACATGTACAAAAATATTAAAGTTGAATTAAAGCAATTCTATTATTTGTTTGACAAGATTTACTCATTTAAAAAAAGAACTATCATTAAACTTAATGGAACTGCAAGAAAACAGGAAGTACTGTTTAACTACTATTGTACAAGAGGCTGTTTGTAGTGGTGATTAAAGATTGAATACTTGTAGTATTAGTGGCAGTAGTGCTAGATCAATGGTAGGGGTTGTTGACCACAGCTTTTGTTTTTACATATATATCAAAATAGAAACAGGAAATGAGAAATAACAAATTTTCACTGGTAATCCAAAAAGTGGAAGCCTCTGCTCTGCAGCTCGGGAATGCTGGAGGCGGTACCACAGGTGGCGTCGGCGGGGTTTGTCACAGTTGGATCATCAGTGTTACCAACATACAGTGTTGCAGGCACAACGTGTTGCACAGTGTTACTCTGGTGTACAGTGTTAAAGACAAGGCAGTGGTTTTTGTCCAAGCTGTGGTTACTAAGGCATGAGGGCTACACCGGGTGTTGCTGAGCAGAAAAGGGTGAGCCCTGTGGAGAAGCAGCAGCGAGCAGCTCATTGTAGATCTCTCGTCGGACCTCCTGGGCCAAGTTCTCACGGATCTGGGGGAAAAAAAGGAACAGAATGGATGCAAAGGTGGTTTTTAGGATATGATCGCTGCAAAGTCAACGAACAATCCCATAAAAAACACAAGTGTTACAGTTGTTGATTTCATAAACATTTAAAAGTTGTCCTTTTACCTCTCTAATAAGCTTTTGAAAGTTTTCGGCTCTATATTTTCCAAAATCTCCTTCCCGTTCTTGTGCCTCGTCTCCCTCTCTTCCTTTCTCTTCCTCTACCTCTTCACAGTCTCTCTGAGCTTCCTCCTCTGCCACCAGCTCCGTCTGAACGTTGGGTCGACCGGGAGGGGCAGGGGTTATGTTGATAGATGCACGATACACTCCTTGCCTCTGCTTGCTGTAGTCTTCCTCTCTCCTGACAGGACTGGGTGAGCGGGTGGAGGGGACGCTGGAGGGGCCGCGGCCATGGTAACCGCGGCCATCGTAACCCATTTCTGATTGGAGGAAGAACTGCTCTCTGAGGAGGTCTGATACCTGGGCAGACAGGAAGTGAGATGGCAGAACATCAAAATAAAGATAGAATGTTTTGATCATCACATCGCAGAGTTTGAGTTGTTGCTATGTGTGCTGACCGGTTTCATGGCTCTCAGTGCAGAAGCGGTGGACAGGCTCTCAACACTGTTGTCTCTATGGAGACCCTGCCAAAACACAACAACATTCTTAAAGGGTCGCTTTGTGTGATGTTTGTGGATTTAGAATAAACATAAACCATCTTGCATCCAGTTTAGAATGAGTAGCATATTTGTTAAACATCTGTACACATGTTCTTACTCCAAGATGCGAGTGAGGCGTCAGATCCAATAGTCTGTCCTCCAGCTGTTGTTCCAGCTCCTGGAGTTCCTCTCTGACTGCAGACCGCAGACACTGAAGCTGCTCCGCCTCTATCCTAAAAAAATCAAAACAACAAAACGGTCAAAAACAGAAGCAAGCAATCAGGTTGGTTCTTAACAGCTCCATAGCTCTGCGCAGCATGAATGCGTTTGCTCTAGTGTGTCACCTGTCAGCAGGACTCAGGTGCTTGTAAACGACAGCCTGCTGCCGCATGATTGACAGCTCCAGGTCCATCATCTGGTTACGGAACATGTTCAGACTTCGCCTCTTCTGTTGAAACTCTGCCACAGACTGAAGACAAAATATTTATAGATAAATAGAGATGGATCCATCACAGCCTGGCAGAGCATTCCTCTAATCTACAATATTTACCATTAATTTTCAGATTATGGTCTGGACTTTGCCTGGACCATTTTAAGAAATAAATGCTTTGATCTAATTCATATTTAATTGTTTTCAAAGCAAGTTAGCAGCACTGAATTTTATCATTAAGGATATCGCAAAATAAATACGCATCTAAAACCTGTAAATCATTTACATGTAATAAAACATCACCATACCGCTTCCAAATTAATGCAACAGTCTTATAATTTGGAGACACGTCTTGACTAAACTAATCATGATTCAACTCACAAACCTCTAGTGAATAAAAAGCACGGAAAGTTTTTCAGAAAAAGAAGGCAATAAAAACATACCTGTCGGCTGCTTGCAGCTGCTCTGAGCTCACTGAACACATCAGGGGAATTGATCCGGGTCTGGAGGATAAGAAAAAACAAAGTTAAACCAATAAAGAAAAAACAACAAGATAGAAATGACGCGTTAAGAGCAGAAGGAGAGAAATTTACCAGAAAATAACCTATAGGAACTATAGCTCTAATACGATAACTGTAGATTAAAGATCTATTTTTACAGTAAGTAAGTTTTTCTTTTAAGAAGCTTGAAAAAATCATCAGTTTTTAAATCTAAATCATGCTAAAGAGAAACATAATCTGCTGCTTAGCAATTTTAAGCTGAGAGAGCTTTAGAGGAACAACAGCCGAAGGCGACTGAAGTGGACTAACCTGACTGAGACTCTGAACCGTTCCCCTGATCTCATGCAGAACCTTCCTCAGCTGCATCTCGGTGCTGGTTGGGCATCGTCCTTGTGCCGCAGGAGGAGGGAGACCAGGGTGGAGACCGGGGCTCATGATGTTCCCTTGTGTACCGTAGTAAGGGGAACCGAATTGGTGCATGTGAGGAGCAGTTGGGAAAGGCAATGAATGGCCGAAGGAAGGGTTATATCCCTGTGGAGCCATCGGTGGAGTCCCAGGTGGAATGTGACCCAAACCAATGTTCTGAGGAGCTGAGGAGGGATGGGGATGGTTCAAGTTGTTGAGGCTGCCGTGTAGAGGGATTGGGGGTGTTGCAGGCTGGTGCAGACTGGTTAGACTGGAATAGTGACTGATTGAAGGGTTGTGCTGGTTAGAAATGTAAGGAGGACTAAAGTACTGGTATGGACCAGCATGGTAAGAAACAGGACTAGGGAATGGGCTATTTTCAGGGCCCGGCAATAAAGCACCGGGTTTGGGGAACATCATGGGTCCAGGATGGCAACCTTGATGGTTGTGGTAACGACTAGGCTGCTGATGACTGGTTGATAGATCAGGAACACTCTGGGTGCTCCAGGAATGGCCGTAGGCTGGTGGGGAATCAGGGGGAGGACTGGAGCTATGCAAAGAATAAGAAGACTGCATTAGATAGCGAGGAATGGGTTTGGGAGGAATGGCAGCTGGCGGTTTATCTTTAGAGCCAGGGTTTATGATCACAGTGGAAACGCATGTGCTTTGTTCGCTCTCATCTCTCTCCTCTATCACCTCATCTTCCTTTCGCCCTGCCTCCTCCTGGCCATATTTAAAGGTGTACCTGGGAGGGGTACAGAATGCTTGACCCTGACCAAACTGGATCCTGACTGAAGACACGACCTTAGAGGGTGAGAGGAGGGAGGAAGGTAAGGAGGAGGACCTCTGCATGGGGATTACATCACGTCTACCTGGTCTTCCTCCTGGAGACTGGGGCGGGCTGTCGCACTGGATGCTGCTGTACTGACCCAACTGCCTCAGCTGCTGTAGCTTGGCTCGATTCAGTGCGCTAAGAACCGGAGACGTTGGAACAGTTTCAGACTCAAGAGCCTTTTCCTCAGCTCCCTCTGAGGTTCCTTCTGTGTCCAACTGCGGCTCGCCGTGCTGCGGTTCTTTTTCTGAACGAGGTTGATTCTGATTGTTTTCTGTTCCTGGTTGTGGTTCTGTTTCACGATCAGTTCTGTCCCTACCATCCAGTTGTTCCCCTTCACCTGCAAGTCTGATTGTTGGAAGCTGGTGAACTGAGTAGAGTGGAACCTGCCCCAAACGCTCTCCCTGCATCTCTTCTTCCACATTGGTACCGCTTGGTTCCGCCTTAGCAGGAGCAGCAGAAGGTGCATCTTGCTCCCGGCCATCAGGAAGCTCAAACGCAGGTTGGTCGAGCGGCTGAGGCGTTGCCACGTCTTGTGAGGGGTGTGATGTCACAGTGGTCTCGCTGTCACAGCTGTCACAACTCTCCTGCACCTAATTATAAATATACCAAATTCACATTTCATAAATTTGGTCAAAAAATTCAGAGCCAACATTTAATTGACAGAACAACCATTCAACAAAGAATTTACTCTTACATTTAAAAAGTTTCAGTTGACCTTAAAATGTACCTAAACCGGACCTTTTATAGTTTGTCCAGGAATCTCTTAACCAATCTGTCCCAGAGCACTTACAGTCAGTTTAGCGCCACTACCTTCTGAACAAGTAATTCATCATTCATCCATTTCTACAAAAATAAAATAAATAATAACAGTAATCCACGCTAAACCCTCTTTCCTTGGCAGCTATTGACCCATCAACATATAAGTTATCTATAACACCCTAGACAAGGATGAGGCAAAGCTAGGTGCTTCTATTAAAAAAAAAAAAGTTATTTTTTTAAAACATTTTCTGTACAAATCATTCAAGCAAAAGGCTTTTCTCAACATATCACATTCTATTCTGTTGGAAAACAGTGCAGAAAGATGCGCTGCTCATGCAGGATGCCTCTTTATGCTGAGGTATTGGGTCGGCGTATGAGGATCTGGTTTGGAATCATTTTCCTCATATTTCTGCATAATCTGCGTCTGTAGCTACTTCTACAAAAACTTTAGCTGTTTCTACTTTTAGTCCACAACCATTATAAGGGGTCCTTGCTTTTTGTTAAATATATATATTTTCCTTCTTATTAAAGCTTAGTAAATAATGTTCTGTTATGCATCTCTTGTAAACCCAAATAGGCGTCTAAACTATGACATTACTTTTACATTCCTAGTTTTTCCAAAAGCAACAACTAGTAGGGAGATTTTTTTTAGAGTAAATTATCATTCTATATCCAATAAACCATTGACACTATCAGAGCTAGAAATTATAAGTGCATTAAGTTCATTGAGAATTGATAATGGTAAATGAATATACTACTTGATGCAAAACAAATACTATTTGGAGCATCTGCTTGTTGTTTCATATGCTTATTTCAGGTGATGTACTGCTACCCACTGGCATCTTTAAAGGAATAAAAAGTTGGTTTACTTCCAGAGTGCTATATAAACAAGCACTGGCGTATATCACAGAACTTTTCGTTCCGTATGTCCACAGCAGATGCCTCGGGGGCTGTGACCAGGACCTGCTGGCTATGCTAATTTACAGCAGAAGGCAAGAGCATTTCAGTAGGACAGCTCCAGGACCTCTGCAGGCAAAGTGATCGAAGCATAGATAGAAACAACAACCTGATGAGTATTATTATACATTCATATATTTCCAAAAATATTTAAACTGTTCCATCACCAAGTTAACGTTTAGCTTTACCTAATTAATGTTGTGTGAAGTTCCACGTGATGGAAGATTAACTGGTTTTTCAGTTCTCCTGAATAAGAAACTGGACGGACTACAGCTTTGTGTTTAACATGTGTCAACATATAACTGCTCCCTGCGTGAGAATGGATTTATAAGCATTTACTTGGGGACCAGGTTATTAAAGCAGACTTTAGACTGAACCTCAAGACTTAAACTTGATCTAATAAATTGTTATAGTGAGATCTTTAGCCTTATACAGAAACAAATAATAAAATAAAAATACTAATCAATACTATGTTGAAAAGGAATACAGTGTCTTGCAAATTAATGAATATCCTTTAAACTAGAATTTAATTTGAACTTTTGTTGCATGAGCTGAGGGTCTCTGCAGCTCCTCCAGAGTAACCTCTGAGCTTCTTTGATAAATGCTCTCGTTGAGGTGGACAGTGATGTTTTAGAAGATTTGCAGTTGTGCCATCTCGGTTTAACTTTCAGATGATTCATTTAGAAAGGTATAGCGAGATGTTCCATTCTTTGAATGTTGTTTTACGCTCTAACTTGCCTTTTAGCTTCTCCACAACATATCCGACTTGTCAGTGTTTGTTTTGGAATTGGAACAAAAACATAAAACAAAAAACACTCCTTTAAAAAGTAGCATTGGACTCACTTAGAAGAACCAAATTAAAGGGGGCTAAATACAAGAAAATGTCACACTTAACTGCAGGGGTGAGTATCGGCATGGGTGTTTTGATACGATATGTATCGCGCTACTTGGATCAAGATATTGCAATGTCACTATATATTGCAATATTTTTCCCTATCAAAATTAAATCTATAGATAAAAAACCCAGTGCTGTGTATTTTCATCAGAAGATTTAGTTATTTTGGTATCCGTGTTGTTTGGGGTCTGAGTGAGTCCACGTCTTCCACTATGAGTGCCTCCACTACAGGTATGGTGCAGCTCCGCAAAGAAAAGGGGCTCCACAGTGTCATCTGACAGAGTGGCGGTGCAGAGGTAGCCCACTTCCCCTCAGTTTTAGGTAAAAATATTTAGTTAAAAAAAAAAAAAACGATACCAGTAACTGAAAGGTCGATATTATATCAGGCAGATGAAAATCACGATGTATCGCCAAAACAATTTTTTTCCCCACACTCCTACTTAACTGTTGGTATAGGGTTAAAAAATCTGACTCTGTCAAGGAAAATGGCATTGAAACACATTAGTGGCTGTACTTTGCAAATAAAGCAATCAAAATTATATATTTCCTTTACACTGTATTAGATTGTGTGTATGGTATTTGAACCAATGTAATGTATTTCCTTATCTTTTATTAGACTATGTACAGTGTTGGTAGAGGGTGTAAGCAGTTTGTAAATGCGGCTGTAGGAGCAAGGGGAAATTAAACTAACCTTGAGGTAGCTGCTAGAGTCCCCAGAAGTCTCCTCAGCAAAACCACTGCTGTCAGACTGTTGACTAACAGTCCTCGACAAGTCTATAAGAGGAAGAACAAAGAAGAGTAAAAAGTGTTGTCGCTACCGTACTCTTTCTGGCCTGCAGGTGGCAGGGTAGATTTAGGTTAACTGCACTTAGAGCAGAGATATTGGGGGGGAAAAAACCCAACAATCATTCACATCTGAAGGAAAGAGGAAAAATATTTATGGTATTGTAGTTTTTAAATGGAAAAATGTGGATTCCTAGAGCACCTTTTATGGCATGTTCTGGCCAATAACCTAAACTTGTTTTGGGGTTTAATACAGCGTCTTTATATAGATCATTTTAATTCAAGCAGAGCCAAGTTTATTAAGAAAATACTTCAAAAACAGCAGACACTGAACAACATGCTGGCAAATGGGATGAATGATTAAATATGAAAAAAAAATCAGGGCCAATAACATGTTAATTAAAAATACAATTTGATAATTCAATTACAAGTTGGAAGTAAAAACACCCCCTAAAAATAAATAAAAAAGTAATAGTGTTAATTATTTTTTACCTCGAAGGGTAAAAAATAATAAATTGATTGAAGGGTGCTAAAAAAAGTATTAATATCAAGTTGATGGGCTTTAGAACCAATACAGCTAAATAAATCAATAAATTATCACTTATCAGGTCCTAAAGGTAATATTCTTATTACCGATGTAAAGGTACCACAAAAAAGATTTTTTCAAGTTCAACAATGCAGATGGTACTATCCTTGGTTTTATGGTTCTAAGATAAATTAACAGCACAACACTCCTGCAGTGCAGTACCTCTGCAACCCACTAGGAGGACAGACCACTGTGTCGATGACCTTATGATTTTGACAAAAAGAAATGCACTCAGACTAAAAGACAGGCATGTGTCATGCATGTTGGTGCACAGTCGATGTCGTCAAAGGCAGTTAAGTGATACTAATAATCATGGATGCGAGTCAGAACTTACCAGTGGTTCTAGATGTTCTGGAAGGCAGGGCCTCGTCTTCATTAGTGTGAATCTAAACAAATAAACAGGGAACATTTAAAAGAGACACATAAATAGACAAATCTTTAAACACTAATCAAATCAAAGTTTTATATAAATACAGTAACTTAAAATGCTTCCACTCAGGAAGATATAACCAGATGTGACAGTAAAGGCTCACTGATTAAATTAGCTGTCATTTGTTTATACATTCACGCGTTTCTTCTTGAATACTTTATTTGCTTTAAAGGTCACTTTTATTCAGAAAACATCAGGTGATTTTTCACCAGGATAATCATCTATGTCATAGTGCAGGTTTAACCCCCCGCCTTCCTTTTCACTTCTCATGTTAGTGTGTAAACAAGCAATTTTGCCTTAATTTGCATTGATTTGCCTGTCAGAGTAGCTTAGCAGGCTGAGTTGACCGACCACAGGGAGAGCAGATGAAAATAAGATGGTTTGGTAAAAGGCCTCAGTGATGTCATCGTGCCACCTGTACGTGGGAAGAGGCTACCCTTAGAGAAAAAGGAATGCAGAGGAAAAACCCAAATTCCCATACCTCCTCCATGTCAAAGGAATCCGCGTTCTCTGTGCGAAGCTGAGTGAGGTGGGGCGGGGTGAGCTTGGGGGGAGCTTTCTCAGGGCTGGAGGGGAGGTTAGTTTCCTTTCCATCCACCTGATCGCTCTCCGTTTTCTGACATGTCAAGTGAAGCTGAGGTGAACCTGGCAGGTGCTCTGCTCCAGAGCTGCTCTGTTCAGGACTGAGAGGTCGATAAATGTTATTCCCTTTATGGCTGATGACACAAATTTACTGATATTATACATTTCATTTACATTAGTCTACTTGACAAAAACAAAAAAAAAACAACAGCATTTTGTGGATTCCTATTATTCTTAATGTGTCAACAACTGCCTATTGGGAAAAATTGTACAGCTAATGGTCTGAAACTTACTGCCATTTGGTTTATTATTATATGTGAGGGATAATCATCAACAATAGAAGGATTAAATGCTTAGAATACGATACACTGTAATTAGTCGATACAATAAAAGACTTTTGAATAGCCTATATGTAATTGGATTTATGGATATAAACTGCTCTAATTTTGGAGATGAACCTGCCAAACACATCCAGCTGATCCAACAACAAACTAAACAATAAAAATACATAAACCTTTGAAAAATCTTTTACAATTTCAGACTTGAAAGACACTTTTTTCCCTATCAAGGAGCCTACTATACTTCATCCCTTCTGACATAATCTCATCTAGAGGATATATAAACAGTGCAGTTTACCTGCTCTCCATTAGCCGTTCAGCATCCCCGCCTCCGTTGGTTTCCTCTGTAACCGTAGCCAGGGGAAAATTATCTTTCCTGCGGAGGTGCTTTTGGTTGGCCACCTCCCCCTGGTGGTCAGAGTTGGCGGTAGATCTATGGTGGTCCGTACCACTACGAGGGTGACCGTTGAGATGTGGAAGATCAGGGGAAGCAGTGTGTCCGTTGGGCTGGGTTGGAGAGAGCCCCTCGGGGGAGTCTGAGGCCGACCCGAGCAGATTTTGTCTGCTAATTCTCTTTATGAGTTTGGCCATGTTCCTAGGGTTGGTCCTCTTTGGAGTAGACTGCGCTTCAACACTACTTCCTTCTTGTTGTCCTTTTTCTCCTTCTCCGCCTAAGAGAATTACAACACAACAAACACAAGGATGATTCAACAAGTGGTTACGTTTCATTCAGTATGATCACTTTTCTTTGTCAAATGAAAAAAAAAAAAAAAAAAAAAAAGACAGGACATACTGCAACTATTTTTAAATTCATAATTGTGGGAAGCTAACCCTAAACATACTAACCCCAAAGTGGTTGCTATAAGGATTCGTTTTTCTGCAGAGATACAGAATCTGGTCAGCATTTATGGGAATATATGGTTAAAATTAAATCCTGAAAGGAAACCTGGAAAAGACACAGGCCTAAGTACAGTCAGAGCTACAATAGATAGATGTGTGTTGCTGCAAGAGCATGGTCCAGCTAAAATTCATTGCCAAGACTTAAAAAGTTACTGTTCAGGTATCCTACATCCAATCAAACTGATCTGGAAAGGAAATACAGTTGGTAGCTGCATACCACCAAATTGCTGATGCTAAGTTCAACAAAGAATTGAATATACAAATGTGTGCCTCTCTTTTAAGGACTTAAAGGAGAAGTTCGGTTTTTAACACTTTTAGCCCATTTTCTGTAGTGTCCAGGATGAAATCGAATGATCGACACCAAAATTTTGACAATTGGTCCTGTCTCTGCTTTTTGGCTCATTTAGAATCCACCCCTGGCTGCTTTAGAATGGCTTCCATAGACCATGTCCGATAATGTCCTTAAAACAACCTTAAACGTTCTTTTTTTAAAATATGCTACTCACCGGGTCGTCAGCGCTGTTCAATGACGTTCCAAAAAAAGTTTCGTGAAGAAAAAACGTTCCTGTAGTGTTTTATTTAGCATTTTGTAAATCCCATTGAGTTCTGTTGGAATAGTCAATATTCCCCTGCCACCGGAAACGGAAATGGGGCCTGTTTACACAGTTGTAGTCTTTTCGCTTCACTCTGTGTACTCCGACGTCGAGGTGCTAACGTCTCTGTTAAACACTTTAAAAAACTCTGAAAATGGAATACGAAAGGTGGATTCTTGATTCTCGACGTCGGAGTACACAGAGTGAAGCGAAAAGACTACAACTGTGTAAACAGGCCCCATTTCCGTTTCCGGTGGCAGCGGAATATTGACTATTCCAACAGAACTCAATGGGATTTACAAAATGCTAAATAAAACACTACAGGAACGTTTTTTCTTTACGAAACTTTTTTGGAACGTCATTGAACAGCGCTGACGACCCGGTGAACCCAAAATGGTTCAAGAAACTGGACTCCATTTACAAAAAAGAATGCAGTGTTTTCTGGACTATAAGCTGCTATTTTTCCCCCATGCTTTGAACCATGCGACTTATGTGAAGGTGCAGCTTTACTGTGGATTTTTCTTCAACCGCCACGGGGCAGAATTCAAACTTGAAAATCAAAGAAGAAAGCTCTATTTCTCAGCAAATGCTAGCAGCAGGAACAACGGAACAACAAATGTCCTGAATTCACACATTTTGACATTTGTTGCATTAGAGTAACCTGGCAGGTGTTCAGTCTGTCCGTGAAAAGGAGGGATGTTTATTACAGTACTTCGAGCTGATTGGGTGACATGCCAGCTAGTACCCGCCCTTTCATAACACGCTTTCAGCCAATCATAGCATGTAAATAGGATTAATCTGCAGCTTCTTGAGTGCTTTCACAACTAGGGGAGTAAGCGGATAGATTAAACTTTTTCCAAACCCTTTCGGAAAAAAAGCACAGAATTCGTTCCCATCTACAAATGCAAGATCTCGTGACAATCCAGCTTGCAGCGCAAGGTTAGCCTTACAGGTGCTGGTCATAAAATTAGAATATCATGAAAAAGTAGATTGATTTCAATAATTCCATTTAAAAAGTGAAACTTGTATATTATATTCATACATTACATACAAACTCATATATTTCAGATGTTTATTTTGTTTAATTTTGATGATTACAAATGACAACAAATGAAAATCTCAAATTCATCATATCAGAAAATTAGAATATTGTGAAAAGGTTCAAAATTGATGGCCCCTGGTGCCACACTCTAATCAGCTAATTAACTCAAACCACCTGCAAAAGCCTTTAAATGGTCTTTCAGTCTAGTTCTATAGGCTACACAATCATGGGGAAGACTGCTGACTTGACAGTTGTCCAAAAGACGACCATCGACACCTTGCACAAGGAGGGCAAGACACAAAAGGTCATCGCTAAAGAGGCTGGCTGTTCACAGAGCTCAGTGTCCAAGCACATTAATAGAGAGGCGAAGGGAAGGAAAAGATGTGGTCGAAAAAAGTGTACAAGCAAGAGAGATAACCGCACCCTGGAGAGGATTGTGAAACAAAACCCCTTCAAAAATGTGGGGGAGATTCACAAAGAGTGGACTGCAGCTGGAGTGAGTGCTTCAAGAACCACCACACACAGACGTATGAAAGACATGGGTTTCTGCTGTCGCATTCCTTGTGTCAAGCCACTCTTGAACCACAGACAGCGTCAGAAGCGTCTAAAGAGAAACAGGACTGGACTGCTGGTGAGTGGTCCAAAGTCATGTTCTCTGATGAAAGTAAATTTTGCATTTCCTTTGGAAATCAAGGTCCCAGAGTCTGGAGGAAAAGAAGAGAGGCACTTCATCCACGTTGCTTGAAGTCCAGTGTAAAGTTTCCACAGTCAGTGATGGTTTGGGGTGCCATGTCATCTGCTGGTGTTGGTCCATTGTGTTTTCTGAGGTCCAGGGTCAACGCAGCCACATACCAGGAAGTTTTAGAGCACTTCATGCTTCCTGCAGCTGACCAACTTTTTGGAGATGCAGATTTCATTTTCCAACAGGACTTGGCACCTGCACACAGTGCCAAAGCTACCAGTACCTGGTTGAAGGACCATGGTATCCCTGTTCTTAATTGGCCAGCAAACTCTCCTGACCTTAACCCCATAGAAAATCTATGGGGTATTGTGAAGAAGAAGATGCAATACACCAGACCCAACAATTCAGAAGAGCTAAAAGCCACTATTAGAGCAACCTGGGCTATCATAACACCTGAGCAGTGCCACAGACTGATCGACTCCATGCCACGCCGCATTGCTGCAGTAATACAGGCCAAAGGAGGCCCAACTAAATACTGAGTGCTGTACATGCTCATACTTTTCATGTTCATACTTTTCAGTTGGCCAACATTTCTATAAATCCTTTGTTTTTATTGGTCTTCAGTAATATTCTAATTTTCTGATATGATGAATTTGAGATTTTCATTTGTTGTCATTTGTAATCATCAAAATTAAACAAAATAAACATCTGAAATATATGAGTTTGTATGTAATGTATGAATATAATATACAAGTTTCACTTTTTAAATGGAATTACTGAAATCAATCTACTTTTTCATGATATTCTAATTTTATGACCAGCACCTGTAGAGTTGTCAAATGAATGAAGAGACTGTGCACAACTCCTGTGAAGCTGAAATAAAGAGCTGAAGAAACCTGATCTTACATTAGAAGCTCTTACTGCTGCGAGCCAACAAGGTAACGGGAGCTTAAATTTATCTTCATCAATACCTCTTCGTCCCAACATGTAGAGCTCGGTGGGGGGGCAGTTCAGTAGATATCAGCGGCTTATCGTTTCAAGTTTAAAAAAAATACAAACTAAAAAATACAACTAAAATGGCAGTGTTTTTTTAATGCTTTGAAATTTCAAGTTCAAACGTTTTATAACATGATGCATCCTCTAAAATGTATTTTCAATTTAGCCGATATTAAAAACGATGCACACTGAAGACCACAAACAAAGTGGTCCTTCATTGTGTTGCACTGCTCACCTTGATCCTTGCTAACCAGTCTGTTGACAGGTTGTCCAGAAACCTGGCTGTAGAGCTGGAAGAACTCGTTGGCTACCGTCGTCAGGACCTCAATCTGACGGAAACGACCTGAAACAGAGCAAAAGAGCAAAGGTGTGATAAGCTCTTCGATTTTAGCAGCATTGGTTCGGTTATTCAGGGCTACACTCCTGCCTCTAACTGAACTGCAGCAGTACATGTAGTCTATTGCCGGCACATGTTGACATAGCTGTCATTTGCAGATGTGCCTGCCCATGGTGCAAATTCTCTATTATACCACATAACAAATATGTGCCACTCATTACCTTGGGCTTTTTCTTTTTAACTCTGGTAGGTTAAAGTAAAGAGGCCACGATCTTGCAGAAAACATTTATCTAACCAATAAAGCCATTACAACAGCCTGCATTGAGCAGATTTAATAAATAAATTCAGATGGATGGTATAAACCACTAATCCATCCTCTGCAGCCTCAGCAGTAAAACTTTTCCCCTTTTTTCCATCAAGTTTTGCAGAGAGTATCACCGCCTCGGTTTTCTCTTACTTACAAACCGAGAAGTAAAACTAAGCATATTTTGCAGATGTGGTCCACGCATCTCAAGGTTTTACATTTGAGCCAATTTTTAGCTGAGGAAAGTGGTACGGACGGTTTAGCCAAGTTATCCCTGCTTTAGGCGTCAAATACAGAGAAGGCTGTGCAAAAACTCAGAGGATATCAGCAGTTTCAGGGAAAACTGTACAGGAACAACTGAGACAAAAAGTTAAAAACAGTTTGACTGCTGCACATTTAAAGGTCTAGAGCCAAAAACAAACATGTGCATTTGATTTTTAGTTAGTGGTGAACAAAGAAATATCTTCATAACTTTGTTCTGGTTGGGATTCACATGATTACTGAACCTTTTATGAGCAAACAATGGATCAAGCTAGTTCTACCTGATTTTAACTATTAGTTTGTGTAAACAGACTTGCAGTTACATTGTGTAATTTTGAAAGACAAAGCAAAGCAAAGTCAGTTTGAATTAGATAAAAAACATTAAATAATGTTCAGTAAAAGAATTAAAACTATCTGCTGTCCTAAGCTTGACCTATGATCCAGTGTGTCCTTTAAATGTATCATTTCATGGCTCTGAAACAAGTCAAACAATAACTAAAGAAACCAAAAAAAATGTCCACCTTAAGACAGATCATTATAAATTGTAAACGTATGCCTTCCTATTGGTCTATTTATACACATTCCTGAAGTGAAAGTTTGGAGATTCAGTAACACTCAGCTTTAAAAAGAGCTGGGGTTGGAATTAAAGACAGACGTCAGAGCCGCTCCTCTCCCTTTCTCCTCTCGGAGTTGTGTAATGCACTGTTGGTGTCATCTCTAACAGGATAATGACTTGCACGCTTTCCTGCCTTCCCTCCCCCTCCTCCCCTTCATACCTCACTGTTTAAATACTTGTCAGTCGGTTATGAAACACAGAGCTCTGTCTTCTGTCCCGCTGTAAAACCTGGCGACACACTTCACTGAAGTCACCTGAAATAGAACAGTGCTCTCTAATATTCGTACTTCAAAGTCCAAAATGAAAACATTCTGTGTTGGACTGTAGCTTTCCTCCGGATGATCCAGCTGTCATGAAGGGAAACCTAAAATCGGAAATTTAAGGTGTGTTGAATGCACTTTAGCCCACTCTGTACAAAAGCCTTTAACTGAAATCATGACAAGTCTTTAAAGGCACACTATGCAACATTTTTCAGTTAATTAATGTGTTCCATAACGTTTTGGATGATTAAATGAGTCATTTCAGGTTGAACAAAGGTATTCTCGGCCGCCCTGGTGGTCTGTGGGGGAAATACCGCACTTGTAATTGCAGGAGCCCTCGGCCCGCACCCACAGGCTCAGAAGCCTCGCGAGAGTCGGTCTTGCTTTACGGCGAGAACTGCTACACGCCCCCAGTTAAAAGCATGCTCGTTGCTAGCACAGTGGCGATCTTTGTGCAGTTATCATGGCGGAACCAGCGTGAAAACAGCGAAAGCCCATGTCAGAGCAGGCAAGAAAGAGGAAAAGGGCTCCGGACAGAGAGAGGAGTCGTACACGGGTGAACATCGGGCAAGCTTTTTCCGAATGGCGAGAGCTAAAATAAAAAGAAGGCTGCAAGGCTGACGCGGACCTCGCGTTTCTGCTGATGCGATTGTAAGTAACATTGGAATGGTTTCTCTCTCTCTGTGCATGTTCATACTTTCACTGTGTTAGTCATTCGTTGCGTTCACCTGTCTGCTAAGCTCAAAACAACCGCGCCTGGCTTGACGGAGAAACCAGGAGAACAGCTGTGCATATTTATGACAATGCACTTTTACTTTCGCCTTCTGGGGGGAGCCTCGCTGGAAAATCAACACCGGTTGCATAGTATACCTTTAAGGTGTACACTTTTGGGAGATTTGCTGCGGTGGCCCAGAAGAATAAAAGCATTCTAAATACCTAAAGTACTGCAAACACAAAAGTGATGCCAAAAAACCCTCCAAAGGAAAAAAGTAGCCAAAAAGAACCCAACTTCAGATTGTAATGTATCCCTGTCAAGTTTAGGATTTGAATATAAGGGAAATTTTACATCCGCTGCCATCAGTCTAAAGATTTCAAACTACAGTATCCATTACATTTTTAAGACATCGGAAATAACCACCAGTCAACCAATTGCAAATTACAATTAAGTGATCAGGCCGTTACATTTTATGAGGCAGGTGAATGTCCCCCCCCCCCAATATAAGTCTATAATAAAATATGGTAAATATACAGGAGACTGCTAATACGAGAGGACTGCAGAAAAGAGTGGTAAAATACGACAGTTCTATGGTCCAAAATGGGAGACGACTGTTCTCCAGTGCTTCAGACCACTAGGGGGGTTCAACCATTTACACATATGGGACCAGACCACAGACCCTACTACATATCATTGTTTATAGACAAGATTCTTAGTGAAAGACAAACACAGAATGCCTACCTACAGGGCATTTAGAGGGGAAAAAAAGGTATATTTTTTTTAAGTACTGAATATCTAAACATGTCTTATGTCTTTACTGTGTCTGGTCCCACATGAGTCAACTCCTAATGGTCTGGAGAACTTCCATTATAGGGAGATACAGTAGTTTGCATTTTTTCTTAACTTGCAGGGGAGGTTTCTTGCTACTCACAGTGATTTATTTAATAAGTATTTTGTGCTTTTGCACTTTGCTTTCCCGTGATTTTCTGTCATTGCAGCATTTCTCGCTTGTTTTTTTATGTTACTCAAATTCTTTTTGCCTGCCACATTTTCCTGTTGCAGCTGGTTTGTGTTTTCCTCGTGCTTGCATTTCTGCCACATTATTTAGAACATCTACAAAATAACAGGACAGCAAAAGTCAATTTTCATTTCTTGTCACAAATTCTTATTTATCTGCGCTTTAACTGGGCCAGTCTGATACATGCATTTGATCTAAAGAAAAAAATCTTATAAACCTCTGGAAAGTAATATTACTCTATCTGAACCAGGAAATGCCTTCAAAACAGGCTTAAAGCCATTTTGTTTGTAGGGAGCAAGAAACTTATCACAAAGAAATTGCTTTTTTGAAAGAGCTCAGCCAGATACATGGATAGATGAAGAGAATCAAGAGTGAATTACCCCCAAAAAGGTTGACGTCTAACCAAATAAAATATACGTAATGCATTATATGGAAAGGTGGTTACATGTGTGAGGGAATGAGCATATCACACTACCTATTCATAATTTCTTATGTCCATTATTTTCTATACGCGCCACTCTTGTTTTTTTTATTTCAAAAATACATTTTGATTATTAAAGTGATTCATTACTTGAAACTTATATGGAAGTATGACCTTAAAATGTCAATAAAATGGTAAGTAAATAAAAAAAGAATATGCTTTATCTTCATTTAACTCTGTTCAGGGACATTGCCCTTTTGGAAAGTGACCTCCACCTTGATCTGAACTCTGTGTCTAAAGGTTTTCATCCAGGATTTTATAACATTTGGCTCCATTTATCCTCCCATTAGCTCCAATCATTGACCCTAATCAACAACCAATCCCAACACTATGAAGCTGCCAGTGGGACAGTTAATGATTATGTGCAGCATTAACACTCAACAAAAAATAAATCATCCCATCCAACTAAAGCACCTTCTTCCACTGATTTTCTGTGTCTATGATGCAGCTTGCTACAAACCGCAAACTGAAAATTGTTGTTGCTTTTTATCCACAGTGACTTTTAGGGTTGTGGGAAAAAAATGTTTTGGCAATATATTGTAATTTTCAGCTGCCCGATATAATATCGATCTTTCCATTCCTAATTGATTAAATACAATCTATATTATAATAATATTGGTTGGTCTGGTTGCCATTTTTGGATCTATTATGTAGCAGCACCAGCTGAGCTTTTTGGTAGTGCTGCAGTGCTACCAGCAGATGGCACACATGTCTGTTTATGTCAACTCACCACACCTGGTGCAGGAATACTATTTAGGCTCAAAAAGGAGCAGCTAAACCCTGTCAGGGCAGATGCTTGATTTTCTTTACCTAATTTTATCACAATGAAATGGTTATTGGTCTTTTTGTTTCTATGCAACTATGACCTTTTAACAGAATCCTCAAGAGTTACTATGGGAATTCGCTACAGTACAGATATGCATTGTACAAAGTCACTAAAGATAAAGTCTATATATAGCAACACAAATATGCAAAACATGTTAAACACAAGTATTCTTGCGAGGCTAAATTATTTTCACTGGAAGTGGGTGGTTAGAGATAAACATCAGTATGACAGTCAGCTGTCAGTAGGCAATTCTTTCAAATCTTTAGTAACAATCTGCAGGGAAACATATTAACTCCAAAAACAAAGCGAATCACAACTAATCTATCAAACGCTCGTCTGCTTATAAAAATGTAGTTATTTTGCATAGATTTAGTGGTTGAGACCTGGCACCAAGCTTTCTTAATTTATCAGCTTCTTATTGAACAGTGAGCTTTTAAAATGCAGTCGATGACTTATGGATTTTTAACATTAGACACAGAAATATTGCATATTTACTATTAACTGCTGAGACTGCTGGTGATTTTA